TGAATCATAAATTATTGTTAAAGAAAATTGAGAATATGGGTATCCACGGTAGTTTGTTAAGATGGATTGAGTCTTACTTAAAGAACCGCTCGCAGTTAGTATATATTCGTGGTTTTAAATCAGAAGAGTGCGAAGTAACTTCTGGAGTTCCCTAAGGGTCACATCTTGGCCCATTGCTATTTTTAATATTTATTAATGATTTATGCAATAATATTAAATCAAATTTTAAATTTTTTGCCGACGACTTGAAAGTTTATCGTGTTATGAATGATGATTCTGATAAGGAAATTTTACAAACAGATATAAACTTTATTGTCAATTGGTGTAATTTTAATCAAATGTATCTCAATTCCACGAAGTGTTTCTTTTTAAAATTTTCGCGAAAAATTAATTCTGAACCAGTTACATATCATATTAATAATTTACCTATCCAAGAAGTCAAAAGTATCCGAGACCTGGGTGTTATATTCGATAGTTCTCTTAGTTTCAGGCAACATTTTGATAACATAATAAAAAAAGCTTCAAAATTATCAGGTTTTATTAATAGACAACTAAAGTTATTTAAGCAACCAAATATCACTATTCTTAAATTTAATACATTAGTTCGAAATTTATTGGAATACTGTAGTACAGCATGGAGCCCATCCTATCAAATTCACGTAAATAGATTAGAATGTGTCCAAAAAAGATTTTTATATCACGTATCCTACACAGACAACAAATGTCATGAATTAAATTCTTATATACAAAGACTAAGTCATTACAAAGTTATTTCTCTATCTACACGTAGGAAAATACTTGATATAATTTTTTTGTACAAGCTAATTCATGGGTATATTGACTCACCTGATCTTTTACAACGACTGAACTTTTGTATACCACGTCCTAGTAGTCGTCTACAAAATCGTAAGACATTTTGTCTTCCCAACGCGAGAACTAATGTAATAAGCCACTCGCCCTTATTCCGTATGTGTTCAGCGTATGATACTATTCGTTTTAAATTAGATATTTTTAATAATACCTCTATAGCCTATTTACGTAAAAAATTAAAGCAAATTGTTTAGTTTAATAGCTGTAATTCATATATTTTTTTTAAGATTTTTCTTTATTGTTAGTAGATAAAAGCCGTTCCTCACTGTTACCGTAGTTTAAATCTTGTTTTTTGTAATATTAAGTTTTGTTGTATATGCATGATGTGTCTGCATCTAGAAAAATGCAATCTTGTGCATTAATTTTGCAAGCTATTCTTATTTTATATGTATGTGATTGTCATTTGTTTTGTGGACCACTAAACATAAATACATAAATAAATAAATAAATAAACTTAGTTTATATAACGTTTACATAATATGTAACTGAAAACGCATTAAAAATAGTGTTAAACCAACGAAAACCTACACTTTAATTACATTCAAATTTTATCGCAGTAATAGTTTTTAGTTATTATGTTATTTGTTTTTTTTGCGTATATAATTCTGTATTAAATGTATTTTTTATTGAATTACATAAAATTCATTACATTGTTTTCTACAAAAAAAAGCGTGTGTGTGTGTACTTACGCACGTAAGAAGTTATATTTCTTTAGCATAGCAGAAGCATCGTAAAAATTTTACTCTCATAATTTTTTTCAAATGTGCCAAAAGAAGTACCCATAACCTAAAAAAAAAACGAATAAAAGAAGAAATAATCTGAAACAACATTTTAAATAAAACTATCTTTTCAGAGACTTAAGTCTCTCCCGTGACCATGATTGCTGTGAAGCATTTGAAACGTCGAGAACCAAAAATTTATCTAAATCCGCGAAAAAATCCGAAAAGATAGTTTTATTTAAAATGTCAAATATTCGCGTAAATACAATGTAAATGCAATTTTATGTACAAAAAAACATTATTTTAAAAACCAATGCCCCTCAAAAATAGCTCGACATATACATAATAAGTCGAGCATATTCGGAAAATAAAAGCACATTTAAGTAAGAGCTTTGTACATTTTAAATTTTACATCGTTTACTCATGAGCACTTTTACTGAGACAGTTGAGACATCTTTATGATGTAGTATTATTGCTTTAAACGAACAAAAACATACAAAACTAGACTAAATAAAGTTCAATGTATGATCAATACAAATATTGAGCCACTGAAGGTTTGAAGTTTCTGATTTGATGTTTCTGGCGTCGAAAACGCTATCTAAGTGCTATTGCGCTGTCTGTTATGGCAAAATTAGACTTCTATTCTAATAATAATATCTATGTTAGTTAGATTAGTTTATTATTATAAAAATACTAGCGGCTCACCACTGCTTCGCTCCGGTTCGTCCTTAGATACGTATTAATGGTTAGTATTGAATAAATAGACTATTTATTATATTACTGCTCCGCTCCCTTGGGTAGTAGCATCATGTTATATGGTCTACTAGCATTGCCTACGGCTCCGCCCGAGTTCAGATGACTAAAAACCAAATTCTTAGGTTTTTACAATGCAGTTTTTTGTATTTTTTCTCAGAAATGAGATTTCCCGCAGTAAAAAGTACCCTAGGTATATGTTGACCCGAATAACCAGCTACCATCGTACCAAATTTCATCAAAATCCCTCCAGTGGCTTTTCCGTGATGCGGTAACAGGCAGACGAAAATTCTAAAAACTATAGATTTGGCCTCTGTATCGATAAGATTTTCAAATAATATTTAATGTACAGATTCGGCTTAGTTACAATTTTATTATATATGTATAGATAGCCTTTCTCAATAAACAAGCTATCTAATGCAAAAATAATTTTTCAAATCGGATCAGTACTAGTTTAGTTTATAATATTAATATTATAATATTATTGTCCGTATTAATATTATAAATGTGAAAGTTTCTGAGTATGGATGTTTGTTACTCTTTCACGCCAGAACGGCTGAACGGATCTGGATGAAATTTGGCACAGAAATAGATTATAGTCTGGAATAACAAATTAGCTTTTTATCCCGTAAAAATTTACGGTTCATGTGGGATAAATTTGTTTTTATTTTCCTATAAATATAATATTAGTAAATAAAACTAATAGTTATAAAATAAGTAAGAAATCGTTATTAAGAAAACAATTAAGATGTGTGTATATCAGACTAGTATTAAAAATGTGAAAGTTTGTGTATGTGTATATGTTTGTTACTCTTGGATGAAATTAAGTACACAGTAAGATAGACTATGCCCTGGAGTAATATATAAGCTACTTTAAGCTCGTAGATAAGCTTATAATGTATGTAGGTACATAGTGTATTGCTTTATAACTAAAGACTAACGAGTAACGACTCACTATCGCTTCGCTCGGGTTCTTCCCTAGGTTGATTCCCCATACAAACTTTCATTCCCATTTTCACTCTTTTAATGGATGATTTCCGGGATGAAAAGTATCCTATGTCCTTTCCAGGGTCGCAAACTATCTTCTTACTAAATTTCATCTAAGTCGGTTCAGTAGATCCAGAGATTATCCTCTACAACCTCACAAACTCTCAAACTTTACCTCTTTACAATACAATACAAATAAATAAATATATTAGTATAGATAACAATTTAAAAATGCCTACAATCATTAACTAAAGTATAAAATATTAAAATTAAAACATGCCCAAGTTAAAACAATTGCAAAATTGTTAAACCGATAACTATAATTATTATATGATACAAAAAACGTATAATAGCTGTCGGTAACATGCTCGTAGTGAAATAAAATAGTACATACAATAACTCTCGTTAATAATGGCTGTTTTAATAATAAAAATGATTCAGTATCTGTATATTTTAAAATATGCAATTAAGTTTCTTTCCATACAATATTGGTAATACATGTTTAATCATCGTCTTGCAATTATTATTTTTCGCTTGAAATTTATTTAAGCATATATGTATCTATACTAATATTATAAAGAGGTAAAGTTTGTGAGTTTATGAGTTTATAACGTTGTAGGAGGTAATCTCTGGATCTACTGAACCGATTTAAATAAAATTTAGTAAGAAGATAGTCTGAGACCCTGGAAAGGACATAGGATACTTTTATCCCGAAAATCATCCCTTAAGGGGGTAAAAACGGGGATGAAAATTTGTATGATGAATGACGCAAGGGACGAACCCGAGCGAAGTATGTTTACTATAAACTATGTTTCTTTTTTAGGTTGCAGTACCTTAAAAGGAGGAAACGAACTCTTAAAAGGATCACTTCGTTATCCGTCTGTCTGTCTGTCTATCCATCGAGATCCTTTTTCTGTGTTCAAGCGAAATTAATATCAAATATTCCTGAATATCTGCAATCCTATGGAATTTTGAAAAAATCGAACTTCTAAATTAACGCAATCAAAAGACAAGGCCGTTTACGCCGTATATTTTGACATTCGCAAGGGAATCAAAACCTATAGGGTACATCCCATTGACCAAGTATCATGAAATTTGGCTGAAATGCACCTTATAGCACCAGTAAAGGGAAAAATCCGAAAACCGTAAATTTGTTGCGATTAAAAACTTATTTCTTTACTTTTTCCGTTTGTGTGTACACCGACCACTACACATGCAACTGTCATGCAACAACCCATAAGCTACCACCTACGTATGGGATCCCTAGCTTAAAATTCCCCTAAACTAGCCCCTAAATTAAATTTCGTTTTACGATCGTCTTTAAGCCCATATTTCGAGCACCTAAATTTAGGGGGCCTTTTAATATTTAGGTGACGCCTAACTGTCGGTGAAACAGAAACTGTCCCCTAACAGCCCCCTAACCATGCTTAGGGGATCCCTTAAACTTAGGTGGCGTTGGTGAAATCGGGCATATGACTTCTTTTCTGATATAAGCTTCCTAAAATATCACTTTAAGTTACTACTTATTATTATTATTAAAACTTTAATTACAGTTAATTTGTATTTTAAAGAATACAATAAAACATTATCATATTTTTGGTGTAATCAAGAATTAAATAATAATATTGGTTTTATTTCAGGTATGAAAGAGTCGATGTAGCTGGCGTCACAATGGATCAGTGGGTGACAGCGGCCAGCGCGCTGCTGGCAATACTACTGTATTACAATACGTTGGACGCCGGCTTTGTATATGATGACAGGTAATTTTACTAACCACTTTAAAAAAATTACTGGCATTGACTTTTTTATTACATTCGTTTATTGTGCATACGTAAATAAACGTATTTTTTTTAGTAAATGTGATACGGTTAATAACCCACGTATCTATATAATTTAAGTGTCTTACCCTCCCTTCACTGGGTTGATTCCTTTCTGGAAAGCATATAACATTACCTTTTGTGACTTGTTACAAAAATAGACTTTTCTTTATTTTGCAAACAATGTCTAAGTAATTTTCATCCATATTTTGTTTGGCTGTTACGGCGTGGCGAGGTAACAAACTTAGACATACAAACATACTAATAAAAACGTGTGTGTATTTATGTATGCATGTAAGAAGTTATACAGAACAAAAATAGCTAAAGATTTCATCCCGTATGTCACAGCTCTCTGTTTGTAAAAGGAATGCAGTTAACTTCATCATGTCGCTTTTTAGCTGTCGGTGTGCGCGCGCATTGTAAAAATTTTATTCTCATAATTTTTTCCAAACGTGCCAAAAAAAGTATAATTTCGAAAATCTAAAACATAAATCACATACATATACTTCTCTGAAAAATAATTAAATATTAGGCATTTTATACAACAATTTATTATTATATTAACAGAAGCCGCGGCTTCGCTCGCGCTAAAACCACAAAAAATATCTAAAAACGTAGTTTCATACAAACTTTTATCCCCTATTTTACCCCCTTATATAATGAATTTCGTAAAATGTTAAAATACGTACTTATTTTATTGAAGAGCATTAATACCAAATTTCAAGTAATTCTGAACATAAATATTTTTTGGATTGTATTATGACCTGTTTTCCCGTGGGAGTCAGATAATCTCTCGCGGTAAAAAAACCTATGCTATTCTCCAGCCCTCCAACTATCTCGACACAAAAAAATCACGCCAATCCGTCTCTCCGTATAGACGTGAAAGAAGGACAAACAAACAAACACATTTTCACATTTATAATATTAGTATGGATAGTATGGATATATTTACAATTAAATAGTAAATAATAAGATGATTACATTAAACTTTTTGACCATTTGATTGATATATTTTTAAAGTAAATGAAAGTTAGTGTTTCATGTTTTTCACGACTGAACGATTCACACGATTGCCGTGAAATTTGTTGTTCGGGTTGTTTGTAGCATGAAAACAAAAACTGGTTTTGATGTTTATATTTGATTAACCAAGCAGCGTTTGTGGGCCAGAGGTTTATTTTTTATTATCTTCAAAAAAGCAATGCAAGTTGGCAGAGCTTGGTAAATCAAATTACACAAATTCATTTTTGATTTAAATCAATTTCTTTAGATACGTACCTATAACATGAGCGTTGACATTTTTTTTATCAAAATTCTCCTTACCCGTGGAGTAATTAAGGGAATCGTTATAATAAAGTTGATCTATAAGGGGATGAGAATGTTTGAATGATCTCTCTAGTGCCTCGCAACGTTAATTGCTCCGGTTAACAGCGGGGAAAAGAACCGAAAACGTGATGAACGAATCACGTTCATTAAAGTATATTTTAATAATTTTCCAATTTTTACCTCTTATAACATTTTAATAACTTTAAAAAGTACTGGGTTTTTGCTTGCTGTCTTTTATAATATTTGCAGTTGATTTTAAAATAGACCTTTACTGTTCTTTATAGGATGTTGAAACTTGAAATAAATGATGAGACGAGTAAATTAATGTAAAATATTTGAAAATTATATATTAAAATAAATAATTATAACCTTAAACCCCAACTATATTATTTAGCCAGCGTATATTATGGTCTGTTTCCCCTAGCTTTGAGGGGAGGACGGTGCCAGTAATTCTTCTATTGTATACACAAGTCACTTGTAGGACGCGTACTCGTAGGAACATTCCTACGAGTACGCGTATACCTACCTACCTACCTACCTACCTACATAGGTATACCTACTTGTGGTACGTGGCTTAATTCAATTACTGAGGACTTCTACCACTAGTTTGACTATCATTTCACTTCACTTTTACTTTCGTATTTCTTCTTAATTAAGTATTAATTAACGATTACTTGTACTTATTACTCGTCTCATTCCTCTCTCCTCATATAAAACAAAGAACAATCACTAATAAAAAAAAAATCAAAAAAGTAAACAATGACAATTTCTCTTTGTAAAACATTTTGTCTTTTTCCATTTACGGCAATTTCCCATTAATTATCCTTGACATGGATTGTAAACGGCTATTTTTCTGTAAATACGTTCTTTACTAGCAATTATTTAAAACGTATTATTTTTCAGTATATTTTTTACCCGTGACATTTATAAGTTGAAGAAAGAGATTTTTTCCATACTTACAATTTTACTTATTCAGTATTAGTTATTACAATTTTTTACTGAACGTTATGAGTCTACTACCAGTTCGTATATTGTATAATAATAAGTAAAATTGTTAAATAAATAATTAATAAAAATTTATATTGTTTTAAATTAATTTGAAGATTGAGGGCGTTTGTTAATAAGCCAACCTAAAACTGTTTAACGGATTTGAACGAAATTTAGCTAACAAGTAGACCGTTAATAGGACTTGTAGGATACTTTTTATCCCAACAATTCTTACCACATTAGATAATTGCTGCAAATTTCATATTTTATTTTATAACTTATCAATAAATGGTGTCTAAGAAAGTTGAAAGATAAATAAGACTTGTTACGCGGATGAAGCCGTGAGCAGAAACTACTATTAAATTCTGATTGTCTAATGATTTGTGATATTATATACCTATATTAAATTTCATTAGATGTTTACTCTACATACTAAAAATAAATTCAATGACCAGTCATAGGAATAAAATAGTTAAATTGCCTAAGTTTTATTCGGTCAGTTACTTAATGAAACGTATCTAATATTTGAGAAAGCCTTTTATAAATATAGAATTAACGGATGATATGATTTTATCAAACTAAGCTAAGCTAGAAGTAGTTATCTAAACTGAAGTTGAAAAGTTTTTTTAATATTAACATTAAAAATAATTCGATGGGTTACATAAGATTGGAATTTTAGTCTCCGGGGACTTGAGAGTCTCGAATACTGCAGGATGAAATTAATTGCCTTTCTAGGGCCATTTAATATCCAAAGATATCGAACTTCTTATTTTACGACCCGCTTCTAAAAATATTGATGGTTATTTATCGTTTTTAACTTTAATAGGTAAAAACAAGCTAGAAGTCTTCTGTTTTAATATTAAAATTACTTTAAGATGGAGTTTATGTTGTGGGAAGTATATATATATATATATATATATATATATATATATATATATATTAAGAAATCTGGTATAAATCACTACACTGTTGTTAAAAGAATTTATAATATGTATTTAACACAGTGTCTAAGTTAAAGGATATTGAAATCAAATTTCTAGATTTAGTATATTCGTCAAAATCGTATAAGGCAAAAAATATTATATTTATTAATTCTATTATACTACAGACACAGTTCTACACATAGATGGATCTATTTACATAATATTTCATCGCCTTAACTTTTTGACATTTTCTTTGTTTCTGTATGTTGTTGTTGCCTGTTTACACATATATGAATAAAAAGCGTAATTCGTGAGATTACTTATGATAAGTACTAAGTACCTGGGCTATGTTACTAACTAATTAATGGTTTTGGTCAAGTGAAGCTATTTTATAACTTTGGGAAAGCAAGCAAACGCATTTACGCATATCATCTGTACAACAGGTGTATATGAAGACTCACTCACTAAAACCCAAAGGAACCTTCCGCCTTCCCTCCTTTCCTCGTCTTATTAAGGTATCGCATGATTTCTAACATACTCAACCGCGACGCTAAGATAGTAGGCCTACTGAGGCAGATGACAACAACTAGGGGGTTGCTCTCACAGTCCACTCTGCTAATAGAGCTATATGAGGAAAATCCGAAGGCTCCCGAGTGTCTCTCTTCACGTCATGCCCGACTGGATTGCGGACGCTACTAAGCCCACTTATCATGACAAGATGAACATATATTTGGGGATAACAATAGGTACCTACATATCATAAGTAAATTCACTAATTATGCTTTTTATTAATATACTAGCGACTCACCCTCGCTCCGCTCGGGTTCGTCCCTACTTAAGGCCGCCCGTTTTAAGTTTAAGTATAGATTTCTCAGAAATGAGATATTTTCCCGCAATAAAAAGTATCCTATATGTTGAGCCGGGTAACCAGCTATCATCCTACCAAATTTCATTAAAATCCCTCTAGTGGTTTTTCCGTGATGCGGTAACAGACAGACAGACAAAAATTCTAAAAACTATAGATTCGGCCTCTGTATCGATAATAATGTCTATTTTAATAAGATTTTCCAAAAAATATTTAATGTACAGATTCGACTTAGAATTTTATTACATGTATAGATGTGTAAACAGACAACAACAACATACAGAAACAAAGAAAATGTCAAAAGTTAAGGCGATGAAATATTATGTAAATAGATCCATCTATGTGTAGAATTGTGTATGTAGTATTTCTAGAGTTAACAAAGCCCTAGTACGTATGTTTAAGGGAAAATATAAAAATTGATAACGTTTAAGATTTGCATAGAAAATCCTTCTACCGAGAAAGGCTTTAGCAATCTAATATAAACATAATATGTATTTTTAAAAATATTCTACACGAAACGACGCATATAAAGTACCTATAATACCTACCTGAGTAAAGTGAAGTGAGTAGATCTCATATTTATGATATAAAAATCGAGTTCAATCAAGTTTCGATGTAATATATAAGATACGAAGCACTCGAAACTAAATCACTTAATGTAGTCGTGGGTTAGTCCGTAAAAGGCTCCATCTGGTCGTTGATATGCGCAGCTCTCAGGTTTACCACACTGTGTCGCTGCTTCATAATCCGCTTTACTTGCGAGAGCTGGAATTAGTGTTTAATTCAACATCGCAGTACTTTACTGCTTTGATCTCGATAAAAATATTTTCTCTTATTCATAAACA